TCCACTTAGTGGGAACATAAAAACTATGCCCATTAACACCTAAGTAATGGCTGAGCCAATCAAGTGACTGTATTGTGTTGCTAGGAGACTATGAGCATTGGGTCAGCTGAGATGAAATCAGGGGCTCCAGCGTTTTTTATTGCATGTACTGCATATCAGGGGCGCTTCTAGGATTTTTTATGGTGGGGGACATTAGAGAGGACATAATTCAAACGGAGGGGCTAACCTTATCGTTAGCTTGTCATTAGCGAATCATATGTTTTGAATCAATGAGTGACAGAGGAGGAGGCAGTCCAGCGGCCAATTAGCTTTCAGCTGGGGCCAGTGTGCACCTGTAGTCCCACCTGTGTATATCCCCTTGCTATATAGCAAAAAGTATGTTGTAATGGGTACAAAAGATGCCACCAGAGCAGGGTTATGCACAAGGTGACAGCTTTTACCATGCCACGTGACCTTACGAGCTGGGAACCTTTCAGAAGGGACAGTATGACATCCTGTCAGTTCCTGGGGTACACATTAGACATGTAGGATTAGGAAGAACTGGAAAATGATGCTATCCCAAAGGGTCCCCAAGGCTAAAGGTTTCATTTTATTGTGCATGCACACAATGGCAATAAAGTTGACTTTGAAGGATGAGCACCAGGAACCACCAGAGAAGGTGCCCGGTCCACATGCCCTTTCTCCAGACCAATATCATTTTTTTAAGTATTGGTTCATGAATACTCAGAGTGACTCGCGTAGATTTCCTTATCTCGCTTTCTCAGAATCACAGTGTTGCCTTTCATGAATTATTTACAGTGACTCACAAAGCAGAACACTAAAGACAAAGTACAAGAGCAAGGCAGACAGTTTCCGCCGTGGTCGGCTGCCATTAGGGCCTCGTAATCATTGTGCATTCTCCCTCACACACTTGCTCACGGCCACGAGGCACTCTGCGGTCTGCAAGAGCAACTGGGCCTCTGTGACACCGGGACACTCTGAGATCACAGATAATATTTGTTTGCATTAATTTTAAAAGCACCCATTTCCCTTCACCAGTGTATCAAGACAAAGAAAGTCAGATTTAAATTAACTTAAATTACAAAAGTGGAGTTAAAATAATGAAAAAAAGACCAAGGGGGCTTGTTTGTTAAGGCATGTTTATAAATGGCATGAGCAATTCAGTCATTCTTAATTCATAGTAAAACATTTTCTGACTATAGAGAGTTATATATGCAGTAATATTTATAAAATTACTATTTTCTGAAACACTAAAAAGAGGGATATTCGATTGGGGAAGTAATTTTTTTTTATTGTTTCCTAGCAGTTTTTAGTAATCGTATAATTCCACAATACTAGGTTGTTAAATTCACGGTTGTGACGTGTTATGTGAGACTAAAGCACACAAGCACGCACTACTGGCATGCGCACACACTTATGGAGGAGCATGCAGATGCTGAAACAATCCAAGACACCAGCGTGACCTTTATCCGTGCTGTAGGTACTGTAGCTGACATGCTTGTTCGCGTTTCAGTGGCCTCCTCCGATGGCTTTAAGCTTTCATTAAAATCACCTCTCCGCTCTTCGGGTATTGATTTCGGGCTCAGTGACTAGAGACCGCCAATCTCCCTCGCATTAAAATTCCAGGGTAGGTTCCATCGAAAATATATTATATAAGGACTGCGTACCTATGCGTGAGTGAAGACAAGCTGAAGTGAATGCCGATTTAGCCTCCTCGCATCCACAGTAAGAACTCCTCAGACACACAGGCCGTTGTTCCAGAAACTCATCCTATAATGCATCTGAAGAGATCCTTCTGTATGTTACAAAAATTCAAACAGGTAAATTCATACAAAAGCTCTAAAAGCTCACCCTAAATGTGCTATTAATGGCCCAATATGTTTATGATACTTAATGGAGGGAACAACAGACCAGCGAGAGCAGACCTACTGGCTGTGAGCTCTGTAGCAAGTCTGCTGGTACCCAGTTCACAGAGCACATTACAACCATCCATGATGAACTTCAATTTAAATGAAACCCGGGAACAGAGGTGAACACAGTGACTTGTACCCGTACACATGCTCGTCTCGGGATAACGCAACAAAACAACTCTGGCCGGGTTCAGCTGACGAGAACATCGCAGAACAACGATCAGGGTGCTGGACTTTACACCTGACAGCCACGGATCCTGCAGACTGGTTATCTATTAACGCCCTCGAGTTGACTGAGTAACCTATATACGGAGAGGACATAACCACACAGACCACACAGACCACACCGAACAAGCGGGGGTCTGAGAGCCGCTGCGTTCAACGGCGATCCTCACTGCCAACGCCAGAGCTCCATTTTTAAATGCGCTGGCCCCCTTAACTTGATACTACACTTCAATAAACTTAAGAAAAAAAAAAGGTGTCGAGAAGAGTGCAAAAACCGGAGCTTCCACCGAGTGCTTACGCGAGGCGTCTACCCTGTACGTAATAACAGAATAACAACAACAAGAGGAGGACAGCAGCCTTCCCAGTGACAAGGTCCCCGAGGAAAGAGTCTAACCAGCAGCTCCAAGCCACTCGTCACACCAGAGACGTAGTTTCACAGGTTCCTATCAGAAACTTATAAACGTCGCCTATTACCTTCAGAAATAAACCCGCGGCTTCATCTAAGCACCTTATTTGGTTGACTATTGTTGTTAAAAAAGATACAAAAGAACAGAAGAAAAAAACTGCAAAAACCGTGACGTCTTCCCATATGACAAAAACTAGCCATCAATTTTCAGTAACTCTTAGCAACACGAATTGTACATTTCGCACATTCCGTCACCCTTATACTGCAAATAGGTAATTTTAACTAATTCAGTTATACATCCTTATATGTACAATTATATATTCCTGCTATACTTTGTTCCAAGCTTTCTGTACTATCCTGTTCCTCTACCCCAAAAGTAAAAGATTCCCATAACAGCACCACTGTACACATCACAAGTGACGACCCCCCCCTCCCCCCAACCACATGAAAATGTGTTTTGCATAAACAGTGTAGGGGTGACATGCATGTTTGGAGTTTGCATGTTCTCCTCAGGTTATACGGGTTTCCAACAGGTAATCTGGCTTCCTCCCGCAGTGCAAGACTAACTGGTATGTCTAAATTGCCCATAGCGTGTGTGTGTGTGTCCACTGAAAGACTAGCATCGCAGCCTTATGCCCCCTCCCTATGACACTGACCAGGATAAGCAGTTACATGATGGAAGGATGGATGGATGGATGGACGGATGTATGGATGGAAGGATACACAGTGCATATATTCTGGAAATCTCATCTTTTTTAAAGGGTATCCATCTGTATGTACGTTGAGCACTGAGCTATGCAAGGATGAAGCCAGCCAGAATGTGAATAGCACTGCATCGCCTTGACAAGGCCCATTACAGCACAGAAAAATACTTACATATAATAATACAGACCGACTGCAACACCAGCTTATTTCTTGCTTTCGCGATTTAAACCACAAAATATCAAGTGCAAATCACGCGTTTAACCTTAATTCAGCACACGGTGATTCGTGGCCGCGAATATCTTTTCATTTTGTTCCAATTTCTCCCTCTTTTTTGTACTGCACTCACAGTCCGTCTGAGTGGGAAATCCGTTTCGGGATTTCTGAGTGAAAGCGCGAAGCCTATCAGTAAACCGAACAGGCCCGAGCATTTCCGAAGAACAACGAATGAGTACAGGTTCAGTTGGGCGCTGTCCACCATCAAAAGCGCCTGAAATTCTGTAATCCGACAATCAGATCTCGTTATAGCTGAAGGTTCCCGGTACCACCTGATATCTCCGCACAAAGTGTGCACGAAAACCCTGAATTGGTGCACCGAAAAATCGATATGCATGCAAAGAATCTGATTCTGAACTGGTTTGTGAAGAAGCCTTTCCGAAAATGGCAACGATCCAGCAAGTCTGGGAGCTGAAAGGCGTTTCTTCTCCTGGTGTCTGAAACCCCAGTCTGTTTCCCTTCATTTAATATCAGGTGTTTAAATCGGACGGCACTGAAAGCACCCATAAAGCCTGCAAATAAATGGGCCTCAAAATCCGACGGTCGTGATTTTCTGACATTTCAGCTTCAGACAGTTTTGCAGACATCTGTAGATGAATGCAGCAAATACAACGGGAAAATGTACTGTTCTGCAAAGAGCTTACACGGCAGCATAAGTTTAACGGTTATCCTCGGTAAATATGTGTTATTCGGAAATACAATATTGTCAGAATCCATCATTTAACTGTATCTGGGCAGGCAAAAAAGGGAGTGACTTGGGCGTGCAACGTGAAAATTAAAATGGCTGTAAAACTAGAGGTGGTTCGGGTGGTACACCAGGCGCTACTTTGCATTCAAATACATATGAAATTAGGAAAATACAATTTTAAACGTAATTATTCTTTCACCCCCCCCTCCCCACCAAATGTTAAGCGAAGCTCGTCCAGATTTTACTGCTGTTTGAAAAGCATGAATCTCCAGTGAGAGGCAGCTCGGATCGCATGTTCTCCGCCTGCGTTAAATCCGTAGGATCTTCTAAATTAAATGGCAGAGCGTCAACCCCAAAACCCCGCGTCAAGAGATCAAACACCGAGGGGCAAGGTACAGCTCAGGGAGATAAAAGCATGGCATTAAGATTAATTGGAAGAGGTGAATTTTAATGGCACTCTGCTGGGACGCAGACGACACCCGGTTGGCGTTCTGGTCGTTAACGGGCTCCGGATGGACGGCAATCCGCACCGGCTTACGGGGTTTCATTTTCAGCACCATTACAGTGAACAGCACATATTCCCGCTGTCACCCTCTGCTGCTCTCCTTAAACGGCAGGACTCAAAAACATGATCCGCCGACATGTATGCGGCGCCGCCAAAGAATAATTCTTGGAGAATATGGCGGATCCTAGTATTCACCATCCAAACTACGAAGGGACAGCAAGGGGGAGGGGGCGGGGGCGACACAAGCCCACATTAAAGGCGAAAAGACACTTAACCCAAAACACTTACTTCATCTGTTTGACGATGGTACTTTTGCCCGATTCACCTGCCCCTGTTAAAAAAAAAAAAAAAAGAAAGAAAAAAACGATGCAAGCATTAGGATTGTTGGTGCAAGATTTGCTCGCACTAATAGCACTTGTAAAATCCTGCCTTATTTATTGCTGCTGTTGATAGGCGGTGGTGTAATGCAAGAGAGTGCAAACCGGTGTATTATGCTGCATGACAGCCGGGGAGGCAGCGTCTGGAGACGGAGCCGAGTCGCCAGTTCCTCCTTACCTAGCAGGAGTAATTTCACGTCTTTTGCAGCAGTGATTCCATCTTCCTTCAGGTTTTTCTCGATCGCTTTGCTCCTGTCCAAAGCCGCCCTCTCCTCAGCGCTCAGTGTACATCCCATGGTTAGGCGACCCTCGGCTCTTCTCTTTCTCCAAAATATACGAAGTTAAAAACGGGTAATCCTTTTTTCCCTTCCTTTTTCTTCCCTGTCCCCTTTCTCGGACGCGTTCGCTCGTTCTCTCTCGCTCTCTCTCTCTCCCTCTCTCTCTCTACCGCTCTCTTTCCCCCTCTCTCGCTCTGTCACACGGCGACTAGCTAAAGCATTAAAACCCGGTCGACTGCAAATGGAGAGGCTTTGGAGGAGGGCGTATATCCGCGGCTGTCTCGGCTTTGGAAGGGCGGCTGCGCTCGGCTTTCGGGCTGGTGGTCTCTACTGGGCGGCGGCGATGGCTGCGGGCGATCGCATCGTTCGGCTCGCGCACAATGGAGGGGAAGGAGGGCGCGTGCAGCGGCTGGGAAAGCTGGGCACTTACTGACAGCGCCGCTGACGTCAAGCCCATGTGAACCGGCGAGCCCGAACCAGCATCCTCACCGCGCGCCCATGCACGCGTCCGAAAAGCGCTGCACGCGCGCGCGGTGCGAATAACTGTTACTTTAGCACAGACGGGAACCTGGTCGTAATGTGGCTCTTCTGTGCGCAGTGAACGGGATTTTACTTTTAAAACATCTGCTTTTGCTCTGAAAAAAATAATACCTGTCAATATATTAAGACTGACTTCGAACAGCCCGAACGTAACAGCTACACATGCATGCTTACAATAATAGCAAGGTGTGGCCTTCTTCATGAATATAGGCAGATGTAGTATTGGTGATATTTGTCATCATTAAATGTGACAAAAATGTGTTATTTATATTAGTATAATAATAACACCACATTTCGTATTAAGCCCTGTTTAAAATAAAATTCAAATACTTAAGAATGTTTTGTTTATTTTAGTTCTTTTTCTCTATTTAAAATATGTCAGTAGTTGTTCTTTATGCATTACCAATATATCTAGCATTTTAATGCATTTCTAATGTGTTTAGTTTTTCAGTTCCATTTTGTCAGTTCCACAAGGCAGGATGACTTTTGGCCAAGTTGAGCAATTTTTTTCATTTTCCAAGGATATTTCTTGCATCTGAGAATTAAACTGGCTGTTGTTACTTTTACTTGCCTCTGTCTGCTTATCTGATGGTCAGGATCACGGGGTGCTACACACACACACACACTCACACACACACATGCCCATAGGGTGGTCTTCCCTGCTCTCCCCTCTCTGGAGAACTAACTCACATTCATAAATATCCGAAGGCTTGACTATTGATCATGTTGCAGTAACTGGGCCAGACTGTTCTCACGCTGAATAGACTTTTTAAAATGGCGTTCACAGCCTTGCCCCAGGTGAGCTTTTTCTCTGGATTATACATGACTTTAGTGTTCCATCTGAGTCCACCACATGACTAATGTCCTTACTCTGTGTTCACGAAGGGGAATTACTTTGGCCGTTAAGTACAGTGGAACTGCCTGCCATCTTTACAAATCGGATCACATCTATAAAAAATGGGGCAGACTTTCTAAACCTAAAGTAGCGAGATTGAGGCAAATGCACCTATTTATCAACAGAAGTAATAAAGGTGTGTGTCCCCCAACTGTGTCCTGACACAGGCAGGAATCCTCTGATGCCCACGGTGATTCAAAACGCAATTCATAAAACCAAATTACGATCAGCGAACCTGTAACAGTTTTGGAGCATGAATTACATACATTAATATTAATGAGCGGCCTGCCTGACCCCGCCTCCCAGCACAGAGGGGCGCGTTGCTGTGTGATCACAGGGGATGATGAAATTTGATTAATATCCCATGAGCATGTATACGGAAGAATCACATTCTCAGATGTAGTGGCTGGTATTTCCCCACATTATGGGGTTATTTGAGGTTACATGGTCTCAAACTTCATAATCTATCTAAAGCTTTATGGGAGTACTGGGGGGGGGGGGGTATCCATCCCAGTCAGGGATATAGGGGCCTGAAGCCTATCTGAAGCAACACAGGGCAGGGGTACAATCTGGACGGGACACCAGCCTGTCATAGACCGGGCCACTTCTAGCTATAGGCAAAATAGACAGTTGCCTAGGGCCCCCCCCCAATTACCTGCATTGTGAAGGAAGTGAAATGATCATCATTTTTTTTTGGTGGGGGGCCCTCCCAAGTAAAGCTTTGCCTGGAGCCCCCGAGAGGGTAGAGCGAGCCCAGATCATTAGGCAGATACATGCAGACCAAGAGTGATGCTCTGTGGGAGATTTACAAGGTCAGTTAGCTTCAATTATCTGCATGTCTTTGGACTGGCAGAGGGAACCAGACATGGGAAGAACATCCAAATTCCACACACGCAGAGCAGAACTGGGATTCAGGCTCCCCAGCGGAGCAGGCGCTGGGCGACACTCCCGCTCACTCAGCCTCCTTTCCAAATTGCCGTTCTTGGCACCTTGTTTCTTGGATTATGTTACCTCAGAGTGATAGCTCACTTAGAGAGCCAAGTCACACAGGAACACGTTTACTGATTGCATGCTCCCTGTTTGATGCTCTTACTCTATTTACATTTCTCCTTAGTTCAGGTTTCAGATAAATAACTGTAAATATAAATCATATGTGCATGTATATGTAAGAAATACGCTCTGAAGTACTGTGTAGTGCGGTACAAAGGAACGATTGATTTAAGAATCTGAACGCCCCCTCCGCCCTGTTAAACAGAAATCATTTTAGGTGCTCAGTGCAGATTATCAGGCATTAAGTCATATTTTGTAACACTATTAAACACACACACACACACACACACACACACACACAGACCCTTTCTGTTTTGCTGAATTCACAAGCTAAAATAAGCAGGACACAGCACTGTGCTGCTGGAAAACCCTTACTCAGATGGGCATATGACATTTTTCAGATCTGAGGGACAACAGCCCTGCTTTGCAGCATCCTAATTGTTTTGTTTGCTCAACAAAGAGCTCTGTGTCAAACAAGCACATGAGATATGAGCCAGTCTGCCTTCGATCCAGTGAAAGTGTCACTGAGGGTCCCTGTGTGGTCGGCCTAATCTGCTACGAAAGCACCCCCCCACTCTCGGTAAATGAAATCCAGGGCAACTGCGACCCCACCTCTCAAACACAAGTACAGAATTAGGCATCCCTGTCAGAACGAGGCCCCCGCAGCGAGGGAGGGGCAGTGCTGCTTTGGTAGGTGAGGCCCTTTCTGACTGCCTAAATAGAAAGGAGAAAGAAAAGATAAAGAGCATCTAATATGACCTGAGGGACAGGAAAGGGCACCAGACGCCTCAGATGTGAGGTCGCCTCACACACATCGGACTGCGGGATCTGCTTGGTCAATTTTTTATCCAGAATAACACACCATTCAAACTAAAAAATTACACAATATTATAAATTCCACTCCTCTTTCTCCTTCTGTTATTTTTATTTTTAATGTTCTATGAAAACAGCGCGGACTCCAACTATAGGCAGAGTAGCAGCTGCCTGGGGCCCCTGAAAATGTAACTGCAGACCCCGTTTGTATGTATGTATATTATGATGCTAATAATTGTAGCAGACATGTCACTCAGTTTTACCCCATGTATTTAAGTAGATGTTTCAGTGGGGCAATTAAGAATAAGGACTTCATCATCATGATGCTCTAGGGGGCTAGAGCAGAGGCCACCTGGGGTTTGAACCGGCGACGCTCTGAGACGGCGGGCTGTCGTGGGAGCACCTGAGGTGTGACTCAGTCACATCCTCGTGAATGTGCACCAGGATCAGTGAGTAGTAGCCATGTGATGTGCAGAGATACATCTTGTTTTTGAGAACGTGCAAGCTTGGAGTTTTTTATTAGTATCTTTGCTACACCTTATTAAAGAACCAACATTCTTAATAATGAGTTTAATATGTTTACAGAACAGCAATGCAGTACTTTATTTATTATATATAACTTTCCCTTACAGGTCAATCCAAATAATAGGTGCATGATGCACCAGAGAGCATCAACAGACATATGTAATTATTATCTTCATTAAATCATGTGCAATGTTGATTCCTTTGTGATGTGAAATATGGGTATAATATCCAAATACAAGGAAAACATTATGAAACATAATAGAGTAGCGATTTAATAAACAGCAGATACATTTTTAATGCAGTCAACATAATTGCATCCTATACAGACAAAAACTGTAAAGAAAGTCATGAAGAGTTCAGAACTTACATGTGCTCAGAAGAAAATAGTTCCTTTTTCAATATTGTGAAGGCTTTTATAGTCATCAAGTTCAGGAGAGGCTTGATTCTCCATGTCGAGGTCAAAAATAGGCATGATTTAGATTTCAAATATTTTAACTTGAAATTTCAGACAACCTGTTATAGAGGAACATAGTGTCCTTGAAGGGGTGTAGGGTTTGATGGCACCTTGTGGGTACGGCGATGTTGTTTCCTTGGAAACCTAGCCAATCCCCAGGTCTTGAACTTGATACTTGCTTCAGTTGGCAGCCAATGGAGGAAGACCTGACAGGGGGAGATGTGAGCATTTGGGGAGGTTGAAAACATCTTGTGCAGCAGAACTCTGGGTTAGGTGGAGAAATATACCGTGGCATGTCAGGAGCCCAGCCAGGAAGGAGCTGCAGAAGGTTGGGTGAGGAATGACTACAGTCTGGGACAAGCAACTTGGCCGACACCTTTGCGAGCAACGGGTGGATCCATCAATTATGAATCTGTTGGACCAGCTTGCAGCTGTTATGTGGAGGTAAGGTTTTTGTCAACATAACGCCAAAGTGTTTGACAGTTGTTGATGATGCTACTATTGAGTTATTTAGTGTAATGGTGAATCCACGACGAAATGATGGACTGGTGGGGATATGGAGAATCTCAGGCTGTGACAGCTTGAACCGTGGACTCCGACTGACCTGACAACGCACCAGACTGAAGACGTTCTCACATCCTGCTCTCTTTTGTTTCTGACAGGACAGTTTGTTTACTGCTCTGATCCTTTCAGGTTCCCAGCTCGGAACTCTAAGGTGACATGTTTAAAGCGAGATTTTTGGGTGAATTTAATTGTAAAATTAGTGTTCAGATGGATTTTAAAGCTATGCAATTTACAGCAAAAGGTGAATGACAATTTGCGGTTTGTAACAGAGATGCACTGTCATTCTTATTGTGTTTGTTCTTACTTTTCCATTACAAGCTATCATTTAAGACACAGCATGATGGCTGATGACTAGTTTCTGTTGGAATTGTGAACTCATTGTGCCGATGTTCAACTGCTATTGTATATCACTATCTAACACATCACTGGCAACCGTGATCAACAGTGTGGTCAACATTTGTGCATTCACAATTTTCCAAAGTGTCACATATTAATTTTCCTCTTTTATCTTTGAAAACCTTTCCTAGATGCACTGTCAAGTATTGTGTAACATATCATATTTCAGAATATGCATTATAGAATTTTGTTGATCGATTGGGAGAAACTCAGCTCAGAATCTATGAAAATCAAGACTTGATAGCTTCAAAGATAAATTT